AAAGCCATAGAAACCTCATTTTTAGTCTCGTAAGACCCTGCCGTCGGCTTCGTAATGGAGCTTCCTAAATCCAAACCCTATGCCAAATCGCGCAGCAGGTATCACTCGCTAGAATACTGGAATCTCGGACCATGAATGTGTGCTGCGTCTCTGAGATACACATGCAGAAACTGAGTGTGGTTATTAAATTGACCTCATCTGACCAGTGCAGTGAATCTTCAAAATTCACCTTACAAGTATCCGAAGGCTCTATGACTAGCTCTCGTCGACTCGCTGGTGTAGGTATAGCAATGAGTTCTATAATAGAAAGTGCGCTTTTCAACTGGATATCAGTCAACAGCTATTTATGTACTGTTTAACTGAATGGATCTGTAAGGACTAGGAAAGAAAGTGATACTAGGCGATGCCAATTCGTAATCTCTGCCTATGCATCCACCGACTGCAGTTCGGATGATGCGACGGATGAATTCTATCACCAGCTGTTAGTTTTGCTACAGAGAGCAAATCCTTCAGATGTAATCATGATGGCAAGTGACTTTAGTGCTGAAGTAGGGAAGCTGAGGCGATTGGAGAGGCATCTTGGAGGTATTTACGGAATCCCATACAGTCGAGCTGACAAGGGTGGTCGTCTGTTACACCTTGGCTCCAACAACCACTTGTTTCTGGCGAGCATCAACTGAAGGCACGAGGAGAGACAGTCTCACACGGCATCCAACGACTTCAAACCAACGATGGACACAAATAGATTAACGCCCAACTTCTTTCAGGACGTTCGTGATAACTATGGCCTGGATGTTTATAACAGATAGATCACATTGCTATTAGCTATCGTTTTAGAGGATCGGTGGAGGATTGCAGCTCTTTTTGGAGTACCACTTTGAACTCCGATTACGTGATAACAAGGACTCGTATGTCTGAGGGTTACTGGTCGCAGAAAACAGGCATCAGTGAAGCCTATCTATTCTCCATTTGAAGACCAGGATACCAAACATGTACTTAGGGAGGAGTTAGCTAAGCATTTTCCAAATATGACAGCTAAACTCATTGAAAGTAAACGTGACGTAATATTAATTCTGCTGCAGAAACAGCGGCAAAGACAATCAGTAACCCACACCTAAAGGATAGAAAATGCCATTGAATTTTTGCAACATCACCCAAACTGATTGATATGAGAAGACTCATTTCAGCTGGCTCTAACTACGATGAAGAGCGAAAGCAACTCCGTCTATCTATCCAAGGACGAGTATGCTGTGCTGCAGTCCTTTGTGTCCTGTTATACGGCTGTGAGACGTGGCTATGAAAGGTAGAAGATATGAAGCGATTGCAGGTTTTGATCATAGATTTATGCGTATCATTGCTCGTGTTTAAAGGAATCACCTTATGAACACTGTTGAGGTCAGGCGAAGCATACTAGGTAAGATAGGTAAGTTGGTTGGTGAGGTTATGAACCTTCATTGACTTAGGAGGATTGAATATGTTTTGTGCATGGCGAGCCACTTACCGCAACGTGCCATGCTAGGGAAAGCCCGATCACATTGGAAGAGGGTACAGGGTGACCAGTCGATGAAGTCTGTAACTGTTAGTCTGAGCCATGTGTAGACATACAGACTACCTAGCTAGGGTTCCCAAAGCTATAGGAATCAGTGGTTGAGAACTGTTGGTAAAACGGCCAAAATAGGTCATAATGGCTCGGATAAATGTATTCACTACCTGAAGACTCTTAAAGCTTGAATATTCGCATTAGCCTTTATCTTCAAATTTATTCTCTCACAACTTTTTCTATTTTGATATCACCCATATTTGATCCACCTGTTTTTTGCATATTACCATGAAGTGTGGTAACTTGATACCATGCACTTGTGTGCAAGGTTCTACGTTGATTCTGTGTCAATCTTTATTATTATTGTTAGTCCCTTGGGTTCCTAATGAAACACAGGACTTCAGTAGCACGTCTCCATTCCACTCTCTTCTCTGAAATCTTTTCAATCTGGCTCCATGACAGCCCAGAAGCTCGCATTTCCTCCTCGCACCATCTCCTCCATGTCACCCTCAACTGGGACACCCAACTCGTCGCTCCCCGTGGGGATTCCACTCGAGGGCCTGACGCATCATGTCCCCAGTCGGCCTTCTCAGTGCATGCCCAATCCATCTCCACTTCCTCCTGCATATTTGTTGCGTGATAGGTTCTTGGTTGGTTCGTTCCCAGAGCTCCTTGTTGCTTATTCCTGTTAGTCTGGCCATCTGATCTTCAGTAACGAGCCAGCGTAAGCAGTTGTTGATGAATGTCTGTAGTTTGTTGGAAATCCCTTTCGTAACGCGCCAAGTCTCTCAACCATCACACAGAAGCACTGACTTGACGTTGGTGTTGAAAATCCGGATCTTGTTCACGTTTTATGCTGAGTGCAGAAGATCTCCATATTGGTTTCAGGCTTATGAACGCCTGTCTTGCTTTTCCGATTCTGACTTTGACATCCTCGTCTGTACAACCTGTAGTTGAAGCAGTGCTTCCTATATAGGTGAAGGAGGTTACTTCCTTTAAGTTTCTCCCGTTTATGGTGATTGGAGTTTGTTGTTGGAGTTGTTGGTGCGGTGTCTTCATCACTTCTGTCTTCTCTATATTCACCTGAAGTTCCGTCTTCGCTGCCTCACCTCTCTGCCAACTTGTTAGTTTTCGCCTGTAGGTATTCAAGTTTGTGTGACATCAGACACAAGTCATCGGTGGCGAAATCCAGATCTTCTAGGTTCTTTTCCGCAGTACAGAGTATCCCCCTCTTCTCACTCTTCACGGTTCTCTGCTGCATGATCCAGTCGACCACAATCAGGAATATCATGGGGGATAGTAGGCAACCTTGTTTCACTCCTGTCTTCACTTCAAAGCATCGCTGAGCTTCCCATTGTGAATTACTTGGCATGTGGCATCTTCATATAGTTGTTGAATGAGGCGGATAAAGCTTTGCGGTACTCCGTAGTATTGAAGCAGTTTCCAAATTACCTCTCGGTCGACGCTGTCAAAGGCCTTCTCAAAGTCGATAAAGTTGAGGTGTAGAGTTGACTGCCATTCTATACTTTGTTCTATGATGATACGAAGCGTTGCAGTTTGGTCTGCACATGATTTGTACTTCCTGAAGCCAGCCTGTTCCGGTGGTAGTTTTGAATCCAGTGCATCCTTTAGCCTCTCCAGGATGATGCGGCTTAAGATTTTGCTTTGGTGGACAGGGACAGGAGTGAATCCGCGCCAGTTCTTGCAAACACTGAGGTCTCTCTTCTTCGGGAGTCTGACAAGGTAGACCTTCTTCCAATCAGTTGGCAGGTACCTTCCCTTCCTCCCACACCTTCTGCAATAGTGGTGTGAGCATGTCGGCTGTTATCTCTGCGTCTGTTCTCAGTGCTTCTGACGGGATCCCATCTGGTCCTGCTGCTTTCCCGCATTTCAGTAGCTTTATGGCGTTCAGGACTTCTGCTTTTGTTGGAGGATTTATGTTCACTTGTAGTTCAGCGGCTGCAGGTGGTATTTCTGGACGAAGTGCAGATGGTGGTCGATTCAAGAGTTCTTTGAAGTGGTCAGCCCATTGTTTCCTTTGTTTCTCTTCTTTCGTAATTAAATTTCCGTCATCATCTTTTATTGGTTTCGTCTGCGTTGATCTCTTCCCAGATAGCAACCTGGTTATTTGATACAATATTGTCAGGTCTCTCTTACCTGCAGCCTGTTCTGCTTCACTTGCCAGTGTTTCTTGGAAGTAGTAGAACTCATGCTTCACTTCATACCAACTGCAATGTGTGCGTAAGCAGAGATTACAAAGAGATAACGACGAGCTTTAGTAGCCCCCTTAGGCTTTACTATGATGTTCGGTCGAACAGTGCAATTTCTGCATTGAGACTCAACGCTATACATACACCTTCAAGGCCGCTAAAATTAGCCACTAACTCTTCAGAACCTCAAAGAGTGAATTTCGCAGATTTACAATAATGACTTGTTGAGGTCAAATGAATCACCGCACTTGGGTCCTGTATGCATGTCTGGCAAACAGCACACATATGACCTAAGATGCTAGAGTTTTGACTAGCAACGCTTGTTGGTCAATTTGACGGACAGTGTAAACACAAAAATCTCCAACATGAGGTTTTCAGCACGGTTTTAGGAGAGCGAGGATGCTGTTCCACAAACTCAAACTGTCATCAAAAGCTGCAGAGTTATAGCAAATTAAGGATGACGTAGGAATGTTGACCGGGAGACATGAGGGAAGATTAGAAAGCATGAATGTGGAAAGTTGGTAATGATCTGAAAGAACTTGAATGATGATAGAGTTTTGAGGGTTGTTGATACTTCCCGGTTTCCCACAATGTGGGAAACTAGTTCTCAAGGTGCTTAAAAAAGGGTTATTGCGTGACCTGAGACCCCACACGATATCTGCATGAGGCCGGTCATGCACGGGCTTTATCGAAGTTTTGTACTTTGATTTTTATTGAGAATCTAGCCATGAACCCTTACTACTGATACCAAAAGGCCGTGGAGCAGGGAGGCAGGAGGGTGCTATTTTGGGGGCCAACCTTGCCTAATTCCGTCTTGCGTTGAGAAAGCAGCACCAATGTGGGACCACTGGTCATCAAAGGAGAACACCTTACTGCAGTCACACCCCATCCACCTAGTAGCAGTAAGACTTCGCTCTCAGGCCTCCATCATAGTTAGCAGTTTACACAATAGCAGTAACTGCTTATCGTCTTACTAGTATCCAACAGACATTTCTGGTATGGCAGAACCTCGAGGGAACAAGCGTTCCACCAACATAGCTTGTTGAGTCATCGTGATATGTAAACCGTGCCACCATATCCAGGTACCGAGTTATCGCTTAGGCATTTTGTCAAAACGGGTAGTCTTACCATATTTTGTGCCTACAATGATCATGTCCGATAGCGTTATTATATGACCGAGTAAAATGCTAAATCTATGATATTATTATTATTATTAAACACGGGTGCACACAAAAATAAATTTTGCTTACCTTCAAAAGACGATGATTTTTTCGGCTGTATGAACAAACTGACGCTTCCCTCTTTATTTTCACTTGATGATTCTCCTCTTAATTTGTCGTCAATATTTGACTCAGGAGTACTCATTAAATGTGGCTTTTTCGTCTCACTTTCAACTTCTTTAGAACTCTTTAGCCATGCGCATACAGCACGAAATATTTCAATTTCAGATGCACAAAAACTATCACGTGATAGCAGACGTTCGACGGATGTCTGAAAAGCAAAAAAGGTATACGATAAAATTCTGTGTAGTTTCAAACTTATGTGACTACCAAGTACATTGACTGTAGTTACAGATGAAAGATAAGAAAGTTAGAATGCTTTTCTCCACTGCCAGCAGCTTACCTAAGAAGTTTTATTCGCAAATGTCAGTGATTCACACTATTCTGCAATTTACATTTTCTTATTCCTATATGAAATGTGACTCAGTGGTCGATGTAGTCAACTATTACCTTTGGGGTCATAATTTTCAGTTCAAATCCATACCACCAACTTCTGGTAAAAGAGGTAATCAAAGCCTCACAATTAAATGCGACATGAACCACTCAATTCATATGATGTCGCGGAAAACCAGTGGTGTTTGCAGTTCTTCATGTGTAGGTTGTTTCCACAGCTGACGTAATATAAGAAAAGGCTTCTTCAAGTAGAGCACTGCTATAATGCTAGGAGGATTGGTTAGCTAACTCCTCCCTAAGTACATGTTTGGTATCCTGGTCTTCAAATGGAGAATAGATAGGCTTCACTGATGCCTGTTTTCTGCGACCAGTAACCCTCAGACATACGAGTCCTTGTTATCACGTAATCGGAGTTCAAAGTGGTACTCCAAAAAGAGCTGCAATCCTCCACCGATCCTCTAAAACGATAGCTAATAGCAATGTGATCTATCTGTTATAAACATCCAGGCCATAGTTATCACGAACGTCCTGAAAGAAGTTGGGCGTTAATCTATTTGTGTCCATCGTTGGTTTGAAGTCGTTGGATGCCGTGTGAGACTGTCTCTCCTCGTGCCTTCAGTTGATGCTCGCCAGAAACAAGTGGTTGTTGGAGCCAAGGTGTAACAGACGACCACCCTTGTCAGCTCGACTGTATGGGATTCCGTAAATACCTCCAAGATGCCTCTCCAATCGCCTCAGCTTTCCTACTTCAGCACTAAAGTCACTTGCCATCATGATTACATCTGAAGGATTTGCTCTCTGTAGCAAAACTAACAGCTGGTGATAGAATTCATCCGTCGCATCATCCGAACTGCAGTCGGTGGATGCATAGGCAGAGATTACGAATTGGCATCGCCTAGTATCACTTTCTTTCCTAGTCCTTACAGATCCATTCAGTTAAACAGTACATAAATAGCTGTTGACTGATATCCAGTTGAAAAGCGCACTTTCTATTATAGAACTCATTGCTATACCTACACCAGCGAGTCGACGAGAGCTAGTCATAGAGCCTTCGGATACTTGTAAGGTGAATTTTGAAGATTCACTGCACTGGTCAGATGAGGTCAATTTAATAACCACACTCAGTTTCTGCATGTGTATCTCAGAGACGCAGCACACATTCATGGTCCGAGATTCCAGTATTCTAGCGAGTGATACCTGCTGCGCGATTTGGCATAGGGTTTGGATTTAGGAAGCTCCATTACGAAGCCGACGGCAGGGTCTTACGAGACTAAAAATGAGGTTTCTATGGCTTTGATCGTTCACAATGGTCGCAGAATGAGAGGTAGGTTAGGGCGTAAGAGGGTTAATATTAGTATCAGGAGGTGAAGGTAGAATAGAAGACAGAGTTAAGGAGGACAGGTTATGTTGGACTGGATCTTGCATACAACTGGAAGCGTGTAGGTGGTCTACACCTCCCGGCTGCCTACATTGTGGAAGACTATTTCTTCTTGAGGTATCTGAGAGGAAAAAAGATGTGTGACCGTAGAGCCCATGGGAGGCCTGTCACTCACAGTCTCTTGCGGGATGTTGTTTCGAGGTTTGGTTGTTCTGACGCTGGATAGAGAGAACCTATATCGCCGTTATCGGGAGATCGTAGAGCAGATAGGAGTGTGGTATTTTGGAGCCCGACATTTTCTAACCCCACTTTATAACGGGAAGACAGCATCAGCATGGAACTGCTGGTCATCCGAAGTAAACACCTTACTGCTGTTAGACCCCATCCACCTGGGAGCAGTACGACTTCTCCCTCAGACGCCCATCATAGTGTATTGATTTATATCACAACGGAAACTGTTTTTCGTCTAACCACTACCCAGCAGACATTTATGGCATAGTAGGACTTCAAGGGATCAAGGCTTCAACTAGCATAGGTGGTTGGGTTATTGTTATATGAAAGCCCGATTACCCACTTCAGGGTAGCAGCTATCGACCAAGTATGTTAGGAGTCATCAATTCCATATTGCCTGGGCCTGAGTGCTGACTCGTTCATATCGATGATTTTGCAATGTGATCACGAAGATATGAGATTCAGTATCGTGGTTGTTTTGATCGATGTTATTAGTTGGAGGCAATCAACGCGAATTATGCCTACAAATACAGCAAACCAAATATCAAGTCTTTTTTAATATTCTGCGCTAGTAATAAAAAGTGATTTGTGATGTACACTTTAGGACGTTCAGGGGTAAAGTAGAGAAATGTTTGATAACAGTGGTGATACTTGCGCTACAGACAATGAAACTATGCTGCTAATTGCCCAAATGAAACCAGAATTTCAAACGGTACATCCTAGCATATTTAGTTTCCAGCGTACGTGCCCATTACCTTACTGGATATCATGAAACAATGTATTTATGCAATTATACAACAGAATAATAACAATTTTTCTGGAGATAAATTCGTATCTGATTGGATCATAAATGAGTACTCTACCTAGTGACTGATTCCGGTGAATAAATATCTCCCCAACGAATAAATAAATATGGCTCATAAAAGGCAAAAGCTGATGTAAATTTACCGAAAGCGGCATAATTTATTCTCAAATACACACATAAACAGATGAGATATACGATTTGATTAAACCAACCTGTGATAGCCTCAGAAAGCGTGGGTCACTTAGAGGAGCAGGAGCAAGACAGTCCAAAAACCGCAAACAAGCTGCAACAAGGTCATCCAAATCATACATTATAGCCAAGTCGTAGATACTCCAGACATTCTTCAGACAAAGTGAATGCACTAAATAAGTAGACAATGCATTTTCTAGACTGTGAAAATTATACTGGTGAGCGAGGCCCAAGATGGCAAGAGTGAGCTGAACACAGATGAAAAAGATTTTTAAGAATATAAAATGTTTGTTTGAACCGGTGTAAAACACTAACAAAACATCTGTATGATTTGACTACCTAAGATAGCCGTAGTTTGGCAGACTAGTATTTGTACTAGGTGATGATTGAAGGTGAGATGAAAATCCGGCCACGGTCCAGATTTTAATTTCACCTTCAATCATCACCCAGTACAAAAACATGTGTAATCAAAAGTTCGAAAGTTTAAATAAGTAGATAAAGTGTTACAAAAGAAAAAGAAAATTATCCTGTCCGAGAAACGAACTATAACCTTTCATCTATTGTTTATAGAAACCATGATTCATTTATTCATAATTAGAACTAAGAATTACTTGTGTTGCACTTTAGACAATCTGGATATAACCAAACCTTAGCTGAAGTAAACTAAACATCACAACATAACCACCTATCAAAAACTATAAGACTAGTCTTTTGATTACGTACGTCACTAAGAACATGTTCCATGATGAGAGGTAAGCTGTACGTCACTAGAAGTTTTCACAATACTGTACAGAATATCCAGCGAAAGGATGATTCATCTCTTCTGGAAAAAAATTATGCTCTGAAAAATAGAGTGAACGTTACCTAAATGTAGTCAGTATTGCTTTCTTACTGTCAAGTAGTAGTCTAATAACTTAACTATGCAAACAATTGAAACCGTAAAAGTAGGCTGTGTAAACTTAAAAAGCAGAAGATAAGCATAGCTTTAAGAGAAAACAGCTCTTACAGCTCAGGATGCCGGTGAAAAACTTTCGCTATCTTTCGACATCAAGACAGACACGGACAAAATTAACGTTGAACCTCGCATACAGGTGCATCGGTTTTAGTTGCCACACTTCATAGTAGTACACAAATAAAAGATGGATAGAAAGACAGTGATATCAAAGAAGATAAAGTAGTGTGAGAATAAACAATCTGAAGACAACGGTTAGTGCAGATATTCAAGTATTAGATGTCAAAGAGCGAATACATCTTTACCACTGTGACTGATTTTCAGTCATGTCATCAACAGTTCTCAACCACTGGTTCTTATCTTATCGCGGATCCCAGCGAGCCAGCCAGGTAGTCTACATCTCTCACACACCTGAGACCAACAGGACGAAACTTCATAAACTGGTTTTGTGTCTTAGTTTCCCCACCGTGAATCCTCTTCCAACCTAATCTAACTTTCTTTAGTATTGCGCGTCGAGGTAGATAGTGGATTGGCATGCGTTGCACATTTCCAACCCACCCCTTTTGATGGAGGTTCACAACCTTATCAGTCGAAAAGCCCGTCTTGCTAAGTGCCCTCCCCCGACCTCCACATTCCCCACATGATGATTTCAGCATAAGCGAGTTACCCTGAGAAGACATCAGTGATCAAAAACTGGTAACCGATTCATATCTTTTACTTTTAGTGGTCATATCTCACAGCCTTATAATAGGATAGAACCGACTGCAGCAAAGTTTACTTGTCCTTTAATATGTAATCGTATACCTCGCCAGTCGGTGCCACAGACGACGCACGTTGGTGAGTGCTTAACGGACCTTCTGTGATCCAGCTGAGATTTGACAGGTGCAAAACGCGAAACACGTTTAGAAGACGCTGCACTGCGTTAGTATCTTCACTTTGTAGGAAAATATCCTTTGCATACTTGAAGTTAGCCAGATGGCCTCCATGGAGTAGATTAATCTATATGGAGTCAGACATACTTAAGATTATGCCCATTACTACACCCATAACGAAGCTAAGTAGGAACGGTGACAGTGAGTATCCTATGCAGACGCCACTAGTTGTCGTCAAGTCACATGACAATTCTCCACATGCCCTTACACGACTGCGTGACTTTGAGCAGACAGCTCTGATTAGCTTTACATACTTGTCCAGTGCTCCCCTTACGGTCAGACATTGCCAAAACACCTCATGATGGACACAGTCAAATGTTACTGTAGGTCAGGAAATAAGAACAATTATCAGCCGCCGGCAGGTATGTCTGTATTCCAAAAGGTGGAAATCTGCCCAACCCACCCTTGTTCAGGTCAAAGACCTGTCTGGTTTCCGCGATTTGCTGTACTCGATAATCATGGACCTGAGGATCTTCGATATTAGTCAAACTGATTCCTTTGCAGTTTTTTGCAACACTTCTTTCTCTTCTTATAGTCTGGAATAATCAGTAAAGTAGACCAGTTTGATGGCACTACTTTTAGTTCTTATATACCTCCTACTTTTTCCGTTACTTTAATCATTGACAACCTACTTCCGTCCTAAAAAGCAGTTGCCGGTAAGTTCTCCGATCCTGCTGCTGTACATCATTTCAGTTTAGAATCAGCCTTCTCAACTCTGATGAGAGTTTGAGAATCGACATCTAAGCTTTGAAATCTATTGGGAAAATACATCATCTTCAGATAAACTTTTTCTTTTGAGTGCACTGTCCAAATTGACATGAACGCACGGATCTTGACTTATATCTCTTAGAATATAAATGACTAAAAAGTGACACATAAGTAACGTGCAATATATTTAATCCTCTAAACCACTCTCTCCATTATTTTTTCAAGCTAAAATCTAACACTGATTTTAGCGAGAAAATTCAGAAGTTAGAATATCAGCATTTTAGGCAAAAATTTTCCGCGAACATTTTCAAGTCTTGAAATGATCTCATCGTAAGGAGTATTTAGGCTACTTCATCAACACCGTCCAGACAAGATTATTATTGATCAGGCGTCCTAGAGAAAGCTTAAAGATTCAGTTACCGCTAATCTGCTTTCTATTCTTTTTGTACACTAAGGTTCTCGAGCGCGACAATTAGCGGTCGGCAGACTTTAGAGCTACGAGCTATTTAGCAGACAGTTCCTCCCATCCCCTTATCAGGCATTTGCAACTATTCCCGTCAGCGCTTTTTTCAGATATTTCATATATATATAGGTCAACTAGTATTTGTAAAGTCTTTGATTAATGAAATATACGCTCAAAACTCATAGTATGCTATTATTTGAAGCCTACAAAAATGAAGGAAAACTACTAACCTTCGTTTTGGACAGCTTTATTTGGCCGGTATATATGTAGCGTAGGATGCTTTTGAAAGCCATCAGATTGATATCGTTCAGATGCACAACATTTGAGCAAGATTCAGCCATTCCCCCGTAGAACAAAGCCCTGAAGTAATCGCATCGAGCTGCTAAAATAGCTCTATGAGCAGGAAAATGAGTATTTTGAACAACAAGAGTGACATCACTGAATGTCTCATTTCGATACAGCTGAGATATACAGGGTATAATTTCAGCAGAATGGTTTATTTTACATGATGTATGGCTATCCTGTACCCTGGTAGGGTACGCACAAAACTCTAAGCCTGAGTTGTGGGTTGCCGTCTGGTTCGACATTCTTAGTGACCTTCAGGTGTACCGAGCCCCTCAATCAAGCCGCTGATAAATTGTGTAAGCAATGGTTGCTTTCATTTTCAGTTTTCGGGATCATAAATACTGTGCAGAATAACCTATATTGATCTTGGTTACCTTAACTTTTTGAAAGGTATAGTTTCTTCTTGAGACCGTTCGCCGAAAGAGCAAGTCTCAGTAGTGTTCTTATCCCGTCTAAAAAAAATATGAAGATCGAGTGGTTGCGCTTGATTTATGTCCTGTTGAGTATATAAGACAAATAGGAGACTTAATGCTGGCTCGCAACATCTTAAGCACCATTGTACATCAGCACCGTCTGTTACTGAACCTTAGTTCTAGAGGAAGATGTATACAAAAACTAAGCGCAGACTATGGCAATCCAGTAATATCGAATATCTTTTTAGGAAGTAGTGTAAACTAATCGATTTTTTCACACTTGCCTCTAGGTCTTGTGAGGCGGCTCCAGGCCCTGGGTGGATTCCCATGCAGTAGGTCTACCCACTCGCCTACTGTAGCTCTGGTTAGCCCGATAGGCGGTTGGGTGTTGACTGAATTTGCAGGGCTTCTGTGATCTTGCCAAAGAGTGTGGTACAAGTGGGTTCCTCAAGTATCGCGCCAACAGGAGACGGCGAACAGCTGTCGCGACGCTGGGTCTATCGAACATTTCAACAATCATATTTCTCCTCATTATGTACTGTCAAACAGCATCATTGTTAATACATATTTCAGGAGAGTTGAACAGCGGGTAAACTTATGCAGCATCACATGCTGAGAATTCTGTACCGCAAGTACAATTAAGATTTGGAACAAAGCAAATGTATTATTATGATTATTATCACACCCAGGCTCTGCCTAAACTTCGGATGTATCGAGAAACCATTCGTTGCAAGTATCTCACCCCAATCAAGCCTCGATAAAGTTATTCTGTTGGCCAGAAAAATGGCTTCAGCGCTGGAATAAATTATTCTATCTAACTTAGTACGGAGGTGAGGCCTAGGTCTTCCGGCAAAAACTGGAGTAGATTCAAAAGTAGCATAGGTTTATCGAGCTTAAGGACCAAAAAGGATACCATTATTAAAAAGGAGCAGTTGTTGTTGTTTTATAGCTACAGTGCTCGATAATGTTTCCCGGCTCCTCATAAGGAGCCACAAATCCCTGAACCCGTTCGTTAGCATTCGTTTTGCTCCAAAGTTTCAAGAAGAGTTACGTGAGGCTACGCGTAAGTATCAGATTGGTCTAACAGGCAAAAATCAGTGGGTCATGGCTTTCGAGAAGAGTCCAGGAGAAATCAAGACCATCGTAAAAGCACATAACTGGTTATATTTTGTACGTATTTCGACGTTACAATATACCTGTCATCTTGTAGTGAGATTCTGAGAGGCTATCAGAAGTAAAATCCCAGTGTTGTTTTGAAGTGTCCAGTCTCACGTGTACTACTGAGACCTATGAGCTTTTACACGGCAGAAATGGAAATATTAAATCACGTTAAGATAGCACTGTGACAACCAACTGTCTGCAGGCTTTTGTCCACTCTGCGGGTACGTTGGTGTAAAGGGCCTGAAGAACAGTTTGAGGTTAATGATGACCAAGGGGCTTGGAAAGGAAAGGAAGCGAAGAAAAAGGTTAACTGAATGCCCAACGATCACAGATGTGAATTCTTTCGTTAAATTATCTTCTGTTAGTGAAATCCAATTAAAAAAGGTTATAGTTCAGCGCACAAGACATTCTAAAGGCTGAAACTAGAAAACTGACAAGTTAGCTCTTGGAAGTGCTGCATGGTTCTCTGATATAAGTGATATCTTCCATACAATTGAGGTGACAAAACCGTTTTCAACCCTCACGTCAGTCCTGACAGTGAGTTCTTTGGCTTAGACTTGTTTTTTGTAGGTTGTGGGAGCGCTTCTGGTCTTACTGCGATTACCTCTTCAGGATGAGGCGTCTCAAGGGTTATTCTCCCCTTCCGTTCGCAGAATGGGTACATAAGGGAGCTGCGGAGCTGATAGGCAGATCAACCATCTTTATGCAACTCTCCTCTGTGAGCAGATCTAAAGCAGCAAAAGTTAACACAAAGTAGGGGATAATAGAGGTATAGCGAAAAATATTTCCCCAAAATCAGTGTCTCTGAGTTCGATGAGGTTTTGAATTTACGTCAACCATCACAGTTTTAACATGCTCACTGAGCTGATGTCATATAACCGAGCACCTACCCTATTTGGCTCACTGACATGCTGTGTTGTGTTGCTCATGCACTACCCTCTAGCTGGTTAGGCGAAGCTGATCGGTATTTTGGTACGGTTCGTCAAAACTGTTACTCTCCCTGGATACCCCGGTGTGTTGTTTCTTGCTCTCAGAGTAGTGAATACTTTGCATATACGAAGAATTAGTGATTCACCATTGCTTTTCCCAGGTTTGCTATAAAGAAAAGTATAAACTAGTTGTAGGAAACCAATGACGCAATTTAGTCCTTCCATGCGACGGTAGTTTGGAGATCCCATCTCGCTTTGGAAGTGTTAGCAAGCGTTACAGAGAACTTGAGTGATTCGTAACTCCGCGAAAAACGTTTTTCCTCGCGTAAACAACTGGGCTGTGGCTTACCAACCTTCCAAGCATATTCCGTGGGGTGAATATCAATAGTAATAATACTAATAAATATTTTATTCTCATATCGGCTATTTAACATGAGAGAAGCCAGTTTACAGACATCATCACATTGGTATATGCTGGAAGATGTACAAGACTTTACGGGATCTAAACGGGACGGAATGGAGTTCATTAAGTTAGGTTAAAAACATCAGAAGATTAGTTAGGAGCAGTAAACAGAATATGCTATAAAGCTAATCATTATTCAAGATCCGACACATCAGAATAAGACTGCTGTTACCAAGCAAAATGATAGCGGAAGAGACTTAACCGATTCACTTTTTCTTCGTAGATGAGGTTGATTATCCACTTCCAATATCTTGTATCTTTTTAACGAGCTTGTGTAAACCAGTTGATTTCTTCGCTCTCTCTTCTTGGTCTTGCGGAACGGCTCCAGATCTTTGGCGGATTCCGATGCAGCAGGTCCAGACACTCGTCTGCTGCAGCTCTGATTTACAGAACAGGAAGTTAACCGTTGGTTTGCTTGCCTTGGACTGTGGTGCAGTTGGCTTCGTCAGATGTCGAGTTGCCAGACAGTTGTCAGGACTGGTCGCTGGGGAGGGTTGGGGATAGTGAAGAGAAAACCTAAAAGGTGTTTGTGTGAGTAAACAAAGAGAGGAAAAGTAAACCAATGGAGTAATCTACTTACACTCAAGTAAGGTGAGTAGGGGTGCAAAGGTATGAAAAACTCAGGTAGGTGAAGCTAACTTATGGCAAGTGGAAGGGGTGAAAAGGGCTTAAATGGCTACAACAGAAAGAAAACTGGTTGGGGCGCTTGATATCACTTCGTGTTCCAGCTATGCGTGGGTAGACCGTGAGCCTCTGCATGACTGTCAGCCCCTTCTTGAAGCTTGCAACAGTCGGGGCGGGGACTACCTCTGCTGGTAGTGCCTTCCAGTACCCACGGATTAGGAGGGAGAAGAACTATAAACGCACATGCGTTTTGGACCTCTGGTGTGCTATTCTACTGGGGTTTCCTCAACGATCTCCGTAGTGGCCACCCGGTAGGACTCCTCTGTTTGGGTGACTTGGGTTACTTATTATTTTGTAAGCTATTATTAAGTCGCCACGTATTCTTCGATAGCTAAGGGAGTGTAGACCCAGGTCTTTGAGTCTATCCTCATATGGTTTTGGTTGCACTCCAACGACCCCTTTTGCAGCTCGCCTCTGTACTTTCCGCAGTAAGTTCGCTCCTCTTTTCAGCTGTGGTGGAGCGAAGACGTTTTGGACCTCTAAGTGAAGCTGTGTTAGTCTTGTAGAGCTTCAGAAAGAGTTCCGGGGCGAGTGCACCCAGTTATCTACGCACAAAGCGTAGTACCCCATATGCTTTCGCGGACTGTGGGTATCCTACAGGTGAAATTAAGGGAGCGCCTTACAACTTGGAAACCAATCAGAATGCTGTCTTGTGACCATTGTAAGGTCATTTCCCCCCGTCTTGGTAGGCCATGTTGGACGACTGGTTTCGTGATAACTAGTTTTTCGTTGATTCATCAAAGTTGCAGATGTTGTTGCCGTTCCTATGCTATGAATTTTACTCAATTATGCCCCGTTTATGATACAGCCTTCGTTGGTTGCCTATTTCGTTAACTGTTTTTATTGTTTACAATGTTTGGGGATGCGGGTCAGTTATAAAAAGAGTTTTTTGCATATTTGTTCTTTGAATTCTATTTCTTCATGTTATGTAAATGGGCTAATATAAATTTATCCGCGTTATGCTGTCCTTGTTGTGTTAAAATTTGGCTAACCGTCTAAGAAGCCATGATGCTGCCTGCGGTGCCCCTGATCCCGAGTTACTTCAGCGTTTACAGCCTTTATCTGGTTGTTCAAGAAGTTTGTGCAAATCTTAACACAGGAAATGAAGGTTGTTCGACCCATGCTGACCGTTTGGGTCTGAACCGGATCGTGTTATTAAGTGTGTAAAAGATGTTATGTCAAAGGACATAGCTTATGACTATGTGAAGAATATCCAGAGGAAACTAACACCAAGTAACATGTTTCCTTAATAATTTTTATTCTGCAGGTTATGAAACTCAGGCAGCAGTGTTCGCCAAATTGAGAAGCAGCGGTCGGCTGATAACCTGCAGTGATGGTGAGCATCACCAGGTAGATCCAGTCTGCTTCAGCAGTACCGATCAAATAGCCGCCTACCTCAAATTTCCACAGTTTGTATGCTTCGATTCAACCTATAATACGAACAAGGGCAAGTAAGTCTATCTTGATAGCATTACCATGAAATACAGCTATAAATTGTTTCAATTTCTTGTAACTGACAACCACGGTAACAGTCTCCCAATTATATTTGGGTGGACTGAACGAGAACAACGGGCAGACGTAGCATGGATGTT